GTTTGTGCCTGTGTGCATGCGTGTGTGTCTGTGTGTGTGCCTATGTGCATTGTGTGTCTGTGTGCATGCGTGTGTGTCTGTGTGTGTTCCTGTGTGTGTTGTGTGGGGTGTGTGTGTCAGTATGTGTCTATGTGTGTGCGTGTATGTGTGTGTACATGAGTGCGTGCATGCGTGGTGAGATCGGATCCAGTTTGGCCGGCAGCCAGTCCACTGCTGGGATCGTCAGACTGTAGGTTCTTTCCGGGTCAGGTTAACTTGTGGTTTTGTATGTGTAACTGAAGGGCTCCACACGCACCAAGCACAAGCTCCTCAGCTCATTGACTTTCATTGAGCTGGCCACTAGCAATGGCTTGCTATCTGCTGGTACTTGGTGTCAGGTTCTGGCCTGACATTGATATTCTGCTTTCCCTCACTTGGGCTCCATGCTGGCTCCTTTGCACCCTCAGAGACCCAACACTTCCTCTGAGAACTCTTCCCCAAACACCTGACTGAGGGACACTGTAGGCCCATATGTCATATGAGATATTTGCAGCCAGGTTCTCTGGCCATGCTTCGTTTCCAAGGGCAGCTGCCATCCTGCCAGACCACCTGTAGCCACCTAACAAAAGGCTCAGGATGGACTGCGCCTTCTCTTTGTTATTATGTTGATCGCCTGGGAAGAGGTGTGGATTCCAAGCTGGTGACTGAGTTGCAGGTGTGATGCCATGTCCCCCAGAAAGAGAATATTAATGAGTTTCCACCTTGGTTTACCTGGGGCAGTAAAAGGTGTTTGAATAATAAACGTGGGTGATCTTCAGGAATGAATGAAGCCTGAGATGCTCTTCTGATATTGCTGTGTGTACTGTGTCTCATTATTTCCCGCGTCTCCGTATAGGTCCAGTTAGGGAAAGTAGTTATATGTTGGGACATCAGACCCCGACAGGACACCATCCTGTCGGAGCTTCTGTTTGCTCTGAGTGCCTGTCATGTTGGAGTAAGGACAGGCACTCGACCTGTCCCAGCCGCCAACATGTCATTCCATTCTTAGGCTCCAAGACATAAAGTGCCTTGACTTTCCCTGTTCTGAGAAGACATGTCCAGGTACACAGCAGGTAAGATGGCCCGTGTGGGTCTGACAGAGGCTGGTCCCTGGGGCGGAGGGCGTTTCGTCTCATTGTTCTTCCTCTCAGCATGGCTAGCAGCGCCAAGACCTCCTTCAGAGGACACACTGCAGGGTCAGGCTTCAGCCAGCCCGGATCACTTCCTCCAAGAATGGGTGCTGTTAACTGGAATTAGCTTGAGGTCGGGCACTAAAGCTTGAATACCAGCTCCTAATGCGACTTTGCTGCTCAAGGTCATGCAATCAAAGTCAGAGCGGACACAAGCCTTTGGAGACAGTAAACAGGGCTGAGACCAGTGCTCAGGAGAGAACAGTAGGTAATGAAGTCTATGGCTTGCTTGGACCAGACAGGTGACTTGGGTTAATGTGGGTCAGACCCAGATGGCTTAGGACAACGCTGGCAGGAGGGGACCACACGGTGGACACTCTTATTCATTGAGCGGTGCTTGCCAGAGCCCAGAGTCCATCAGCACAGATGGGACTTAGCAGTGGAGGCCTGCCACCTGCCTCAGGGCAAGGCCTGTTGGTCACAATGAGGGTGGCAGGTGTCACTATGTTTATTATTAGAGTCATCTTCTAATGAGGGCAAGGGATTCTGACTTTCCACGTGGAGTTATAGTTGCATAGGAAGTTTCTTTTACAAATAGATTTGCATAAGTAAAGCAGACCGCTAAAAGAAAACAGCACACGGCAAGTGATTAAAACCTGAGGTGGCCTCAGGGCCCAAGAGGAAAGGCTGAGAGCGACTGTCGGTGCAGCCCAGCTTTTGTCCAGACCATTTCCAGCAGGAAACCCAGCAGCCTTCGGGACATGCTGGGTTAACAGGGGAAACGGACCCTAGGAGCTCCAAAGCAGAGAGTCACAGGAACCTCGTGAAAGGTGGGGAGCACAGCTGAGCAGACCCTCTACCCCCTGCAGCCTGCAGCCTGCAGCCTGCAGCCTGGAAGCTAGGCGTCCTTGACCCTGCACCCCCAAGTCCAGCTAGGTGACCACCAAGGGCATCTAGAATCTGAAACTAGGGTTCTTCCACCTGCCTTGCCTGTTGGAGCATTTCGCCATGCAGTGGGCAGCCCAGGTGTGGTCCAGACATCATACAGTGCCCCTGCATACTTTCCACATCTGTAAACAGAGGGGTGTCATGGCCTCGAAGAGCTCTTCTGGGTGAGGGGTCCCGGGGCAGCCACTGTGATAAAGGTGAGGACGTGGGGTCACACAGCCTAAGTTCCACCTCCTGCTCTACTGAATAGGAGTCATGTGACCCTGGGAAAGTCACTTTAACACCTCAGGGTGCTTGTTCTCAGCTGTGAGTGGTATGAGAGTATGGCCTGGACAGGGTTGGGCTGGCAGTACCAGGAGAGAAGCCTGGAGCATAGCCGTCCGTGGACACAGGGTGTACCGGGGTTGCCCGTCTCTACCTAGACGGCTAACATGGGAGCCTAGTTCCCAGACTTTGGGGCTAACATCCAGAGCAAGCTCATGGGCATGGCTGTGAGCCTCATGCTGCCGCCGTGTCTGTCTCACGGATGAACACCCGAGAGAAACAAATTAAGGAAGGAAACATTGGTTTTGGTTCTGGGTTTCAGAGGTCAGGGTTTGTGTGTCTCTTTGGGTGAAGGTGGCATCCCATTGGGCCCCGTGTCCATGGATGTTGTGTGGTGGGTCTCTCTCCTGTCACTGCCAGTCTATGGCATTCTGGTTCTACTTCTGAGTTATGGTAAGGATGCCATGGTGGAGAGGGTGTGGCAGAGCAAACAGCTCTCCTCATATGCCACTGTGCCCCTCCTTGAGCGCTAAGGGCAGACACACTGTGCCCCTCCTTGGGAGCCAGTTTGAGAAAGGGAGGTCCAGTCCCAGTTGGACCACTATTCTCAAATGTCCTATGGAGCGAAGACTAAGTCACTGTGATGGGAGGTGCTCTGGGAAACAGGGAAGTGGAGCACTACTCGGGGTCACGGGGTCACAGTGGGAGTAGGTTTCCTTTGGTGGGAGCAAGCCAAGAGGAAGCTCTCTGGAGGGGTCTCCTACAAACTCGAGGACCTCTTCCACGAGTCCAAGAAACAAGGAGGTCTCTGACTCCAGGCGCTGGGAGGGGGTGGCCGGTGTGGCAGTTGTCACAGGCCTTTGAACTATCATCATGGCTGAACACAGAGCGTGTGAGCAGCAGACGCTACAGTGGCCGTGGAGAAGGCTGTTGGGAGACCCAGGCAGGTGCTCCGAGCACAAAGGCCATTCTCACCGCCATCAGAGCAGCTGGGACCATAGCGACAGCCCCTCTCCAGCTGCCTGTGGGCCTTCCCTCATAGAATGAGGGGTAAGAAGGGTGTCGAGATGCTCACCCGAGGTTCCAGCCGCTCCTCCTTATGCCTCCCTCCCAGCTGTATAAAATTCTGCTCAGGGTCGCGCACGGTCTTGTGGGCCCAGGAGGTGCCAGAGCTTACAGACCGTGAGAGAGTAAGTGAAGGGAGATTCCATCTGTGCAACCATGGGGAAGTCATCATCTCTGCTACAGCGAGGCCTTCTGTGGTGCCAGTGCTTCGGGGTCACACATGCACACCCCCTGTAAGCAACACCTCACCTGTGCTCTGTAAGCAAGCTCAGTAGATGAACGCTTCACAGAGCCGAACTCTGGTGGCATCAAACTTTGTTCTGTCCCTGAAGCTCCAGGTGTGACAGATGTTATTCAGATTTCTCCAAATGTAAAGTTCACACAAGAGGAGGGCAGCATAGGGCACCATCAAGGAGAGGCGCGCAGGGGTCCTGCAGCTGCCTTGGCCTCTGTCAGGCCAACAGGGCAAGTCCTTGCCTGCACACTTTGTGGGACTGGTCCTTCTTCAGGTCCCCTGAGGGGAACCCCGCTACATGATGCTGTAGCTGTTCCCAGTGTGCACACCAGATATCCTTCTGCACCCTCACATCCACGCTTCCACACACATTTTCTCACACCCGCCCCCAACACACGGCCCGTTCATAGTCTGGAGAAACACATGTTAGTGCCAAACACTCTTTTTGAATAAGATTCCTTTTATTTCCTTTACAATGCCAAGGAGATGTCCACCAGAGAGCACTTAAACCCAGCCTCCCTGCTTGAGCTACGTTGGAGCAAACTGTGATTAATCAGCCCCCAGGTGTGGCTGAGTGCTAGTTGGAGTCCAAATACCCAGATGTTCTCCACCTCGGTCATCTCACCATTGTCCTTAGTTACAGGTTGGAATGCATAGGAGTCTTGGTCCATTTTCTGTTCAGCAGTCAGGTACCATAGACTGCATAATTCATAAAGAACAAAGACTTCTTCAGCTCTTTGTTCTGGAGGTCCAAAGTCAAGAGGGCTGCTTCTGATAAGGGACTTCTACAGAGTCCCAAGGCTGTGTGGGGAACCACAAGAAAAGACAGAAAAGGTAGGCACCTTGGATGAGGTCACCCGTGCGACTGCAGGGGCCTGTCCTTATGCTCTGGTCTAGTATCAATTACTTTCCAAAACTGCCACCTCCAGATGCCATATTTGGATAAGTTTTCAACCCCTTCTTTATTTAGACATGCACCCCCGGCTGGCCTGGAACTTAATAGCCCAAGCCAAGGAGGAATTCACTACATCTCCCAGGCTGCCCTGGAACACACAATCTTCCTGCCTTGGCCTCCTGAGTGGTGGGATTACAGGCATGCACCACCACATCAGTTTCTACCCTCTTACTATTTCACAGTTAGAGTTCAAAGTGGGGGCATTCAAACCTTGGCAGAAGTTTGGCTCAACATTGGTTGAGCTTTACAATGAGAATCCAGTTCTGTGGTTACTCAGCTATTTTTTTCCCTAGAATTTCCTGTTTAGTTCTGTATATGGGGCGCTGTTTTCTCTGCTGTATTTTATTGAGTACATTTTAGACTTAAAGAAATAGCTTACAGAATCACCAGTACAAACAGACACAGCTTTTATTTTGCCACTGAGCACATTAATTTCCCCTAAGACCAGCTTTTCAAGAAGCCCAATATTTCCCACTTGCTGTGTCTTCCTGGAAAAACTGCCTGAAGGAAGACTTTCTCTCTGCTTCATTCTAAAGACCTTTATGGGCCCATTATGGTAGTTGCCATAAGGCGTTGATGTTGAACAAGATTTGGGTGCAGTTTTGTGAATGCCTACCTTGGAAGAACTAACTCTTCCTACATCAGTGTGGTGCCTTGGTCTCTTGGCTCATTCACTCTGAATGCAGCAGCGGGTTAAGTCTTCAAGCCAGACTGTTCCATCAGCTCAGATCATTAGTCCTGATTACCCTTCACCATGAGGTCTGAGGTTGTCTTTTCCCCATCCTAGGATTCATCAAGAACACTCCAACCTACCAGAGAGGTTCCATGGGCACTGACTCCTTAAATGGGGAGCTGTGAAGGATTCCTTTGCCTCCCCAAACCCCGTCCCTTATCTCATCCCATTTCCTTCCCTCTGTGTGTACAAAACCCAAGAAAGCAGATGAAGGCACAGCTGCCTTAACTTCATTTACAAACACCACCAGTGCCACAGTGCCTCGGGCTCATGTAGCTTTCTGGGCCAATATTTTTTCTCTTTTCTTTCTTCCTTTCTTCCTTCTTTCCTTCCTTCCTCCTCTTTTGCTTTTGAGACTCATTTTTTTTTTAAGGCCTAGGTGAGTCTTAAACTTGTGATTCTCTTGCCTCAGCCTCCCTCCTTGCACTACCACACCTGACTCTCCAACATCCTTTTACCCTTCAAAGAATCCTACAATCTTCACTCTGGGGGTGGGCTGGCGGACAGGTTTCCCGAGGAGCAGTAGATGGGCTTCTGCTTCACTGAGTGGTCAACACTAATGGGAGGAGCTAGGACTTTGAACTAGTGGGCGGAAAGCCTTGCAACTGTTGCTGGGGTGATGGGAGCAGAGGGAAGGTGTGGGGCAGCAAGACAGAGCAGCTCTGAGGAAGTGCATTACATGTTTGCACACGATGAACCCGCAAACTTCTTCCCTGGCTGCTTACAAAAAACAAGTGCTTATTTTTCTTTTATTGTAGTATTAGGGATTGAAACTAAGGCATCTCATATGTTCGGCAAGCATTCGGCTATTGAGCTACATCCTCAGAATTCTGTATTTTGAGAGTCTCACCAAATTGCCTAGGCTGGCCTTGAACTCATTCTCTGCGGAAGGCAGTTCATCCCATTCCCAGATGGTAAGGCCCACAGTACTTGCAAAGTTTTGACAGCTAAGCTTGTGGGCTCAAGGTTTAGAGAACCCAAGGGGCACAAGAAGGCTCTTCCGGGGATCGCAGGAGCCCCTCTGCTTAGCAGACATAGTAAAGAGGTTCTTGTTTAAAGATGCCCAGCAAAACCCGCCCGCGATGGCCCCAAGCAGCCCGCCAGCGACAGTGACCCAGGTCCTTGTCCGTAGTCTGGATGCCTGGGCACCAGCCAGGCCGGTTCAGGACAGATACTCTCGCACCGTGAGCTCCTTCAGGGTGAAGCCCCTATGCGTGGGACTCCGGAGCTGGCTGTCATCCAGCCTGCCCTGCAGCGACGCGAAGTCCTTGCCCAGCGCGTAGGCCAAGCGCACCATGGCGTCCAGCAGCGGCGCGTAGTAGCGGTGGCTCTCGCGGGCCCGCAGACGCTGCAGCGCGCGCTCGCCCACCGCGAAGGC